TCCCTAGCATATGAGACAAAGGGTCGCTATCCATCTCAGGGTATTATGGCCCACTCTACAAGGAGTGCGGCTGCCACGGTGGCTTCGGCGACAAGAGTACCATTTAAGGACATATGTAGGGTGGCCACGTGGGCCTCCCCTACACTGTTTATTAGGCATTACTGCCTAGAGGCTTATGCATCAGCAGAAGCGTCCTTTGGGCGCAGAGTGTTGCAGCAGGTAGTGGCCACCTTAGCCACTAGAGAGTCATAGGTTCCCCCCCCCCCCCATGGACAGTAGCTTGGGTACATCCCACCAGTGGCCCCTCCTGCAATATGCCATTGAGAACGAACGTTGGTACTTCCCTGAATGTCGCTTCTTATGACATCTGTAGGGCCATTTTCTGCCCTAGTTAATTGTAGCGGACTAGCGTGGGAGGGGTGGCCTTGTGATCTCTTTTTCAAATCATACTCATGCTACTCGACTCGACCTTGAGGAAGCTGAGGTAGGAGGAGTGGAGGCATAGTTGCAACACTTTTCCACTCAGTCTATGGATCAATCAACACTGATGATAGTCCACTAATGGGCTCCTCCCACAGATGTCATGAGAAGCGACATTCAGGTAAGTACCAACGTTCATTCAGGTTAAATTGCTGTGTTGGCACTTTGCAATAAATAAGTGGTTTTTGGGTTGCAATTTGGGCACTCGGTGCCAAAAAGATTGCCACCAACCCTCTCCTCCAGCAGAAGATCCTTACAGAATCATAGAATAGCAGGGTTAGAAGGAACCTTGGAGGCCATCTAGAAACTTTCTATTGTCTGGATTATTTTGGTGCTTCTGACAGAAGAAAATTGCCGGAAAGGAGAAGGAGTTTACTAGGACAAGGCTGCCATACAGAGGAAGGCAGAGGTAGTCCTTGACTTATGACCACAATTGAGCCCAACATTTTGGTTGCTAAGCAAGAGCATTGTTAAGTGAGAATTGCCACATTTTACTTAATCCATGTCATCTCCTGGTTGTAACAGTCGTGTGCAGGCTAGGGAAGAACATCTGAAGGCATGTGTAATATTCTAATGTACAGAAGTTATAGTTAAATGTGTGGCAGAAACTGGACTTTGGGTGTGTTTTTCCACCCAGATTTTTTTTTGTATCTCTTTTCTATATCAAATTAGGCAAAGAATCCACTCTTTAAATGAGTTTTTAAAAAAATACCCATAGCAATAAAAGAGGAAAAATAATAATCTGTAGCTTACAGAAAGTTACAAAGAAAAGTTAGAAGAAGAAAGGTTAATCCATCCACTTGAAAAAGGTTTGGTTAGATTCAATCCATGTAAATAACATTTAAAAAGTAAGATAACCATTGTCCAAAACCATTCCAAAGTTCAAATTCGCCGCTAAATTCTTCTATCCTTTGATTTAAATTGGTTTTTAAGTTTTATAGGCAGGCCGTTTTTTAAAAAATCAATAAAGATTTCTCATCAGCTGGAAACACTTTCTTTTTCCACATCATTCCATTCTGAGGCTGCCCTGACTTTGTCAGTCTTGACAAAAGACTGGAATTTTTATTACCAGCTTGAAGACTTTTTCTTGCTGCTTTTGGAGATTTTGCGATATCCCCGAGATCAGCAAGACGTAATCTTCCTATTCACCATCTCTTCGGGATGGTTTAGGTCCATTGGGACCCCCAGTGATAAAAGTGCGATCTCAGAGCATTGAGATTGCACATTGTCTCGTCGTGACTTTGGCCCCTCCCCTCAAATGTGTGTGTGTGTATAGTTTTAGAAGAGCTCTGTGTGTGTGTGTATGTGTGTGGAGGTATATATACACATAGAGCAGTGATGGCTAACCTTTTTTGCCGCCGTGTGCCAAAAGCTGGGAGAGCACAGGAGGGGGTTGTGCTCACACATGCTGTCTTCCCATGCAGGCGCAGGCGCCCTGTGCAACCCCCACCCCACCCCTCCCGCTTTTGCTGCACAATGGTATGGTGGACCCGTATTTCGCCCTCCCCAGGCTCCAGAGGCTTTCTAAGAGCCTGGGGAGACCGAAAATGGTCTCCCTCGCCCACCCCACAGGCCCTCCTCCATGTATTTATGTATGTGTGTGTGTGTGTGTGTGTGTGTATGTATGTATATGTATGTACACACACACACACACACACACATATATATATACACACACANTATTCTCTTGGGATTTGGGGAGTCCTTGGGAGTGGTTCTGACATTGCAGCAGCTTTCTCTCCTAGGTCAGTGTCACTTAGCTGCTGAAGGGCTTTTCTTTCTGTTGAGACTGGGGGATGGTCTGGACCCAGTGCTAGTTTAATTTTAGGTAACCCCCTTCCCAGGTGATCGTTGGGCTCCATTTTTCTAGCCAAGCCAGTCCCAGTATGAGGGATTCAGTCATTTTTGGCACCACTAGAAACCGAATCAGCTCCCATTAGTGTCCCATCTCTAGTTCGATGGGTTTGGTGACAACCGTGGCTGGGCTTTCCCCTATTAGTGACCCATTGACCTGCTCGAATCATGTGGGGATTGCTAGAGGTCTTGTCTTGATGCCCAGCTTAGTGACTGTGGAGGGCTGATAAGGCAACAGGTGCAGCTCATGTCTCTGATGCCTCTACTTCCCCTTGGGTCCTGTCTTTGACATCACTATTTTTGACTTAATAGTGAAAGGACGGATGACTTCACTGGGGTCATCCTCACTGTCATCACTGCTGTCACCACTCGTCAGTGATGGGACCTCAGGAGCTGGAGTTCCCCCTTCCCTTTTTGGGGAGGGGAGACCTCAACGACTTGTTGGGCAAATTTCCCCTTCTCTGTGGCCTTTCGCTACAATCTCTTTGGCTTTATGGGGGTTTGACCTCTCGCTTGTGGCATGGGGGCTGGGGCCAAGTACTTAGATGCTCAGTGACCCTGTTGTCTACACCAGAAACATTTAATGGGCATTGTGGAGGTTAATCTTAGTGGCTCCTCTGCTTGGATCGCTGTCCCAGTTGCCTCAAATTTCTTCTCCGAACTCTCCTTTTGGTTTCGCTGTAGTTTGAGGTCCATTTGCTACAGCCATCTGGTACCAGTTGTGGATGCGATCTGGAACTCCCTGGAAAAGGCAGATTTGGAGCAGTTCTTTGTTCAGGCCCTCTTTAAAGTAATGGACTAGTAGCAGTTAAGCCCACCGCCTCAGCCTTCTGGCAATTCTCCAAAATTCCTGGATATATTCTTTGGCTGGGAAGCCTCTCTGTTTGATTTTCTTGATTTCTGCTTTGTTCAGGGAAGTAGCCCATCCAGGGAGCATATCCCCAGCCAGCAGCAGCTGGGGTTGGACTGGTGGGCTGACTGATATTCTGTGCCTGGGTGGGCTCCGATAAGATTGGGACTCAACCAAGCCAATAGCTGTAGTTGGCTGTGTCCCAGGTTGCACTGAATGCAGAGCTTGAAGCATTATGTCTTGTGTGGATGGGTCCCTCTGCGTGGGCAATGTAAAAGTCAGCTGGCCAAGGACTGCCGTTGCATGATGGGTTCTCTATGATTGGCTGCCACCACCAAGATTCATCTGCTCGAATCTTTCAGGTAGTCCCTCCAGGGTTTGGCTGCGAGCCTGGTATTTCCATTTTCCCAACTCGTTAAATCCAGAGGTCTCATTGACCTCCATTCCAGGATTATTGTCCTTCCCTCATGGATGTGATCGGTCTCTCCCTTATTTGTCTCTGGGAAGCTGGTTTGGACTTCAGGTCCTCCTGCACCTAGTAAAGCTCCTTGGAAGCTTGCCATTTGACGTGCACCTTGGGCCCAGCCTCCAGCTGGCACTCAACTTCATTCGTGGCTGCTGTCGCTCGCTGGGGCATTGAGGAAAATGACAGGCTCAACTGCCCCACTGGCTCTGCTAGCATTTGTCATCTCTCCTGTTTCCTTCTCCATCTTCCTTGAGTCTTTTCCATTGCCCAGGTAGACCAGGTAAGTAGCTGGGGCTTAGGACCCTGGATAGCAATTCCAGTTTGGAGAGCCAGTTTAATGTCAAGGTTNACACACACACATATATATATACACACACACATACACAGACGCACACACACACACACACACATATATTTTCATAGATTTTCACGGGTGTAGATATGCTGGTCTTGTTGTATTCGGGTCTTTTCCCATGTAAGATTGAGATTGTCTTGGCAACATTTCGGCGAGGTCTCACTTGCCATCTTCAGGCTAGTGTTTTCAGCTTTTCCCCAAAAGGAAGGTTGGAGACTGGTCAGTAATTGTTGAAAACTGTTAGTTTGAGGGACAACCTCCCACAATTTTAATTAAATTGGTTTTCTATACCTATCTCATTTAATTATGCTATCTCTGCCTCACTTGCTGCATAATATGTTTGTTATGGTCATTAAAATAAAGGGAGGGGGAAAAGAATCCATTGGAGTTGGGCAGCTAATAAATTCAGCTAAATAAAGGTTCATCGTTGTATTCTAATGGTTATTAGAATGCTGTAGAGATTCCCGGTTTGTGGATTATCCCTCTCTCTGTCCATCCATCCATCCATCCATCCATCCATCCCATCTATGACATTTGACTATCTCTAGAAACTGGAATCTATTAGACAGATGTATTTTGCACTTTACACAAGTTCAAACTACATACAAAATCAGTCAGACTTGGAAGATTGAAATTAGCACAACAGGTAGATCAAATCAGGAATCAACTCCACAGAAAGAATAAAACTAATTTGTTTTGATAGTCCTTATATTGATAGAGTCTTGCAAGTCCAATTATGCTGTATCTCTTGCCTTTCTTATAACCATATGAATTAAGGAGATGTCTGTGAATTAGGGAACATAGTGTTTGTTTGGATTTAAGATAGGTTTGATACGTATACATCAGTATACAGCTATTTAAAAAAACTGTTGAAGTATTAAGTACAAAAAAGTTTGCATGTTACATGCTGTTAGTATTTAGTATGATTTATTGGTCTTTTAGATTATTGATATTGGTGTTTTTTAAACACATTTCATCTTTTTCCTTTCTGCTAGTGGCACAGAATTGCTTCATCTGGCTGTATTGCATTGCAAAAAATTATGTGTCTACGCTGTCTCAGGTAAAAAATAAATCAAATCAACTTATTTTCCCTATTTTCCATTTATAAAATCTAGCATTTTTCCTACAGATTTAATGATACTAAATCTATTTCACATTATTAAAAATATACTCTTTTGGAAAGCAGCAGCTTGCCTTACACCTCTTACGCAGCACTCACTTCACCTGTCCCTTCTCAGGTGGTTCCAGGTGGCCAAAATTGCCGTGCTGCATCTCTAAAACGCTATTACAGCCATCTCTGCCACCTGTAACTGCCTGAGAAGGATCAGGTGAAGCAGGCACTTCAGAGATCACGGTAGATGGAAAGGAGACATTTTACTTTCGGGGTTGCCACTCAGCTCAGCTCCTGGGAGGGCTTAGACGGTGGTGGCAGTAGCGGGTCCTCACATTGCTGAGGAGTGAAGTCATTGTGGCCATTGTCTCCGTTGAGCTGCCCACTGAGTTTCTGAGGCACCTCTCGCTTGCAGGAGAAGGCAAGGGCGGCATATATGAAAGCCTCTGTAACTGGGAAAGAAAGCCGTGCTTGGAACCTATTGAAAACTGCTGCCCGAAAAGCGTAGCTTTCTTTCCCATTTACTCAGATGCTTTTGTATATGCTGCCCTCCTCCTCCTCCTGTAAATGAGAGGTGCCTCAGAGACACTAGATTTCTCAGGACGCTAGATTGGGAAGTTAAAAACCTAGAATGGGGTACAAGGCTTTGGCTCATGAGATCGCTGTGCTGCCACCCAAAAATACTGTTACCACGATCTCTGCAGAGCCCACTTCACCTGCCCCTTCTTGGGCAGTTCCAGGCAGCAGAGACCGCGGTAACAGCATTTTCAGGTGGCAGTGAAGCGATCTCAGAAGCTTGATTGTGTCCCATTCCAGGTTTTAATTTTGCAATCCAGCGTCCTGAGAAAAGCCTTTATGGAGAGGAGACTGTTCCTCTTCTCTTCCTCCATCATCACCCCCAACCTGCCCAGATTTATCATGCAGCAAAAAGATATGGTAGCTGGGCGTAATAGCAGCAATAGCAATAGCAGCAATAGCAATAAGAACTGCATGTCAGATCCGGGGGGATTGGGGGGGGTGGAGGAAGGGAAGAGGAATGATCTCACCAACACGAAGGCTTTTTTCAGGAAGCTAGATCACCACTTCCTCTCCGGAAAAAGCTATTGGCCTTGTCGGAATCTAGGCTAGTGGAAGAAGCATGTGATGGAAAGGAAACTTTGGAATGCGGGAGTGCTGGATCGGGAGTCTCCCTGAGCTTGGCACTTGCTTTTGCCCCAAAACTAAGGAAGAGGGTTTGTGAAGAGGGCTGTGAGTAAGCCCGGTTGTTCAAGGATGCAGCCTTGTCGGGTTGTCATCTTTGGCCTTCTTTTGCTGCTCAGGCGCCACCATGAGGAACCATTAATCCAAATGGAAGGAATCCCCACCCCTCCTCGCCCAATGGGCAGTTCCTGGTCGAGTGTAGCTGTGGCCATTCAGCCCCTGCGTATCTTTCTCTCCTCGCTGAAGAGAAGAAGCAAGCCGACTGCTGCTCCTTGGCCCATGGGAGGGGTAGAGAAAAGCTGATTTGAGATCGATAAAAGCTTTACCCTTTAGGAAGATCGAGCCCCCACACATCACATTTTTGCCCTCCCGGCCCCCAGAAGCAAGTTGCAGGCTTCCCAAGCTCTCTGCATGCCCCATTTTTCACAAAAAATGGGGCATGCAGAGTGTTCCTGGGAACCGGGGAGGGCAAAACCTTTTTTAAAAAAATTTACCTCTTCAAAATCTTGGTGCATCTTATACTCCAGTAAGCCTTATACACCGAAAAATACGGTAAATAGAATTTTCTATGTGATGATCTGTAGAGGAATAACATGTTTTGAACCTTCATTTTTAAAAACTCCCCAGTACAAAAAATGGATTTACAAGCCTTTATCTTCGTCCTCTAAAGAAATAGATAGTTTGCAGTTCTTTACTTGTTAGATATAAAGCTCTATTGAGCCTAGATAGCAAGTTATGGATGTTGAGGAATTAACAGTTCACCAAAATTTAGGGAGATTTTATATGTCATTCCTCCATCAGTATGATGGAGATTTTTGTATTCTCTATTTGATATCAGAATCAAACAGAATAAACTGAAAACGTCAAGTTTGTGAGAAAAATGTATTCACTTTTAATAAGTGGTTAATTTTTCCCTCAGTTCTGTTATATAGGCAAAAGAATGGGGTGGGGCTTATGGTATAATAATACATGAAACCTGAATTCTGACAACTGTATTCAAGTGTAACATAAGTATATTACAGCATCTTTCATAACAACATTTTCCAGAGAAAATATTGCAAGCTTAAGGCAACTCTTTCTTTTATTTAATAGGTAGCTTAGGAAATACAGAATATGGCAACCAATACCAGCTAAAATGTATGTATGAACACAGTCTTTATCGAACTGCATATAACATGACATATGGACCATTTGGAGGTATAAAAGGTACGTTATTGGTCCCAGACTATTTTCACTGATATAGAATAAACAGAGGAACTTTGGTGTTAAACCTGTGACTTAGGGAACCTATGCAGTTGGTCATATGTCTTTAGATGCTACATTTGTACTCGACTACTAATTTTCTTGTCCAGCAACAACATTTTTTCCCTGCCTCAATCTCTTGTTGCTTTTATATATGATTTAATTTTGTGTGAAAAAGCATATGTAAATGGTGTATTTTAAACCTGGGGAAGATGTGCTTTAAATCTGTTAAATTTGAAGAATCAAAATATTTAAGTAATATTATATATGTGTGTTTGTGTGTGTGTGTGTNCGAAATTATTATTGCTGTTGTTGTTGTTGTTACCCTCTTATTTCTATCTCTATTTTAATTTTCTCCCCATATCACTGTAATATTCAAAGATGTTTCTTTTCTATTTTCTATCTTTCACCTTTTTATTATTCATATTTCCCTTATTTAGCTCTTCACATCTATTTATATTAAATTTTCATCCTTCATTCTTTCATTATCCAGTGTCTCAATGTACACTTCTAGTACCAATCACAATCATTTAAACATTTAAAGTACATCTATTCATGTTCTTCCCAATCATCCAATCTGTGTAATTCTACTATTAATACACATGTTTACATTAAAACATATTCTTTCATTATCTAATCATCGATTGTTTAATTTTCATTTCACTTCTAATCATATTTTTATGCATATTTAAGAATGCCATCATTCAATCTCTAATTTTCCAATTGATGCTTGATTCTTATTCATAGTTCCCAAATTTCACTGTTCATATCTATTTATCTTAAAATATTATTCTAATGTCTGTCACACTACATACAAAATTATCTAGCCTACATAATTCTAATATTAATACATGTTTGTATTGATATATATATTTATGGAAGTCTTTTAATCTCTTTTTTTTAAATCCATCATCTCTTGCACAGATCAGCATTTTTGGTCTTTTGTGTGTGTGTGGCTTGCCTCCTGTATTCTTCTCTTAAGTCTTTTACTCCATCTACTTCTAAATCTATATTCTGTCTATGCAATCTAACTTTTTCTTCCCTCTCTACCCTTTACCATTTCTAGTTTTAAAGCTATCTGTTCTAGCCTGTATCTCTTTTCCCCAGATGTCTTCCTGTTTCTTCCATTCCCTTTTGAGTCTTTTAAAATATTTTCCTCCAGTTTTAATTCCTTAGTCATTGTTAATTTTGGTAATATCTTCTACTTGTTGTCTTCTTTTTGCTGGTTTCTAAGTTCTGCTTTCTCCTCCATTCCTTTTGATGGCTCCTTTCTTTCCTCATTGTCCTGGCTTTTGTTCATTGTCCCTTGTATAATATTTTCCAGTTTTTGGTTTATATTATCAAATATTTTCACCATCTCCTTATGTTGTTCCTCCATACTTCGAAACATCAACCCATTCCATTTAGAACTCCACTCACTTCTGCCTTGCAAAATTGTGTTTTATTTTGTTTAATAGGTCTCCTTTTTAGCCAGTTGTCCAGGAATCATTGATTCAAAACAGAGCTTGACAGATCACAAGTTTTAATATCTCATCAATAATCGGTCAATTTTAAATACATCAGGGTGTTTTCCACACCTCTGCAAGTCACTTTTATACATTCAGTAACATTCAGGGATGTTTTAACTAAAATTCTTATTTAATTTTCAAATTTCTAGTTGTCTTAGAATAGATGCATGTAATCCAGTAGGTATTTTCAGTCTTTCAGATAGTTATTCCCAGGCCTGCATAGTTTCCCTCTCATCAGCAGATGGCACTTTCTGCTTCAACCTGCTTCAATCTCTCTGCAATGTTGCTGTCAAGTCCGATTTTAAATGTTTTAAATTATAATTCCAATAAGTAAGCAGTATCAATATATAGGATTTTAGGCCCATAATTCCAGCATTTTAAAATGCCTACTCAATACCATGTTCTTTTGCTTTGAGAGTTCAATTTTATATGTGTGTGTTTGTGTGTGTGTGTGTACGTGCACACACCCACACCCACATATTCTCCTTAAATTCTCCGGTATTTTTCCAAAGTGCTTGTTCTTTGCTTTGATGAATACTTCTAAATATATATTCCACTTAGATTCCTTGGGGTCAGATTTCAACAAAAAGTATTCTCTCAGCCAGTTTGCACACCATTCACTGTTTCTTCACTCCTGCGCTGTCATAGGTGTTTAGACTGTTGCTAGCTTCATGGCAGCCATTTTTGCTGCTGCTGCTCCTTGTCTTTGGATGAGGGGGATTTTCCGAGTCAGGGAGAAGAGATGCGGCACCCCCCTACAGGGTGGCTATGGCTCCTATTGAAGCCCTCTGACAGGGAGAGCTTGAGACGGGGCTGCGGTCCTCGCTTCTTATAGCACTGGAAGTACAGCTGGAAGTCATTTTTAATATTCTTATCATTGTCTCTATAAGCTGCCCAGAATTATGGTACATAAGGTGGGGAGCTGTATATCTCAATATAATGAAATAATAAAATAACATCCATAGATGTGTAGATGTCAGTTCTTATGGCTAGCTGTTTCCCAGACATTAATTCAATAAACTTAATTAACTTCATTGCCCCTATGTACATTGCCCCTATATTCCCAATGTAGGGAATAATATAATTAAAACATTTGGAACAATGATTCCAGCTTGATGAATGGTTTGTAGTGATAATTTACAGGTCATAAATTTACAAACTTTATAAGCTGAATTAATAAAACCAGCTGAACTATTTGTAAAAACTATGTGCATGTGAGAATACATTTACAATTATGTTATAATAACAAAATAAAATAAAAATCTCTAAAGTAGGATTGGCAGCCTTTTATTATCAGTTAATATACAGATTAGTCATAGCATATCAAACATAGTGGAGGTTGGGGAAGAGAGTCCATTCTTATTATTTCTTATTTATACAAAGGCATGTAGTTGCAGGATCCATCTGCTTTTCAAACCCACTGTCAAGGAAAGAAACAAGTTGACTTTTTGTTAGTTTACTAAGTAACTGATCTTTTTTGACTTTTCTAAAAGAAAGTCTGCTACAAATAGCATTGTTATAATAAGAAAGGCATTCACAGAATATTTGAAATATATATAACAGTTTCCAGAATTGATCATGTGTCCCAATATTAATCCATTGATTTAATAAAATTAAAAAGTCTTTTAAAAAGTGCTGTGTTTCCCCAAAAACAAGACCTATCCCAAAATAAGTCCTAGCTTTATTTTTACGTGTGCCTAATATAAGCCCTATCCCAAAAATAAGCCTTAGTTAAGACTTACCCACTGTTTCCCACCATTTGGTTGTATGAGGTGAAGCAAGATATATACATAAAAAGCAAGGTATGATGGGGGTGGAGGGTGGTGGGTGGTGCTGCCCCATGCACCCCATACCCACTTATTTTAGGATTGCCAAACCACTCCTCCCACATCATGACACATGTCATGCTGCTGCTTGACTTCTGTGGCCATTCGCGGCCAGATGCCATGTGGAGCATCATAGCAGGACGTAGCATGGCACATTGTTGGTGTCACCACCCGTGACAGAGGGCTGCATATGCAAAACGCTAGTGCCACTGATCACATGCACAATGGTAGATGAACCACATGGCTTATGAGCTGTGGCACTGATGAGATGCGCCATGTGGCGTTTGGCCACAAACAGCCGCAGAAGTTGCAGAACAGTGTGACAGGTGTTGGAGCGTGGGAGGCCTGGATACGGTGGTTCTAAGATAAGTGGGTATGATATCCCCTGAAAATAAGACCTGGTCAAGAGCCAAGGTGGCGCAGTGGTTAAATGCAGCACTGCAGGCTACTGCTAGATCAGCAGTTCAGCGGTTCAAATCTCACCGGCTCAGGGTT